AGATCTCTACATCTGGCCTTGGTTTCCTGTTTTTCTGCTGAAAGAATAGGAACCTCTTGGAGAAGTCAAGGTAACCCTGTGAAAACAGTACTCCCAGTTCTAGAACTGAAACTTGATGTCTCCTAGGGTCAACATCTAGTCCTGAGGCCTCCCCAGGAACAACCTCCCTCACTGAGGGAGAGAAGGAAACACTGCATCCCAGATTACAATAAAAAACTCTGGGGTTGTCAGGAACTTAATCTGAGTGTGGACCATCTGGACCAGAAAGGCCTAGGTTCCACTCTAACATCATGGCCTGTTATGAGGTTGATCCCATCAAGAATAAGGAGCCAAAAGAACATCCAGCTTCCAAAAAAGCGCTCAAGCTACCAAATTTTACCTGTGCCCAAGGCCAGTTGTTTCTTTTTTTACAACTTGGACAAAAGGAAAAAAATCAAGATTATTGACTTATACGCTAAATCTTACAATAATTTTCACCTTTAAAAATCTTCTAATATGTGATACTTCCTCCTTTTGCTGCAATCATTTGTCATTGATTTCACAAATTCTGGTACCTATAATTTTGTCTAACGAACAGTACACTTTCCATGTCTAGCCTTGATTAGAGCATATAGGTGTTCCCTTTTTCCACCTTTGTTGCTATTTTTTAATTAATCTATCCTTCACATTACCCCCTGCCTTGAGCAAATAAAAACAAACAAAAAATAAATAAAGCCCTCAATTCATAGCCGCATAGTCCAGCATAACAAATTCCCACATTGGCTCTGTCCAAAAAAAAGTGTGTCTCTCTCTGCATTTTAAGTTCGTCACTTCTCTGTCAAGAGGTGAGTGGCATATATATCATATCGTTTTTTGGACTCACGGTTTATCATTGATCAGATCAGAGTTCTAAAATCTTTCAAAGTTGTTTTTCCTCTAAAATGTTATTACTGTAAAAATCGTTCTCCTAATTCTGTTCACTTTGCTCTGTATCAGTTCAGAAGTCTTCCCAGGTTTCTCTGAAACTATCCATTTCACCAAATGGCAAAATAGCAATCCATCATACTCATGTGCCACATTTTATTCAGCCATTCCCCAGGATGAGGACAACCAATTTTCCCCTACCAAGAAAAGAGGCTGATTCTATTTTTGTTCATATAAATTCTTTGCCTTCCTCATGGTGGTTACATGGGGTTACATAGTGGTTACAGAGTGGTTACAACATGTGCCTTTGACTCAGCTTTTCCATCATTTCCTTCTTCCCTCCTTCCCTCCTCAACCCATCAGTGCAACTCAGCAAAACAATAGCAGAAGGGGTGTCAGGCTCCCCCCTTCTTTTAAACTACCCCCAAAACCCCTATCAACTTCCCCTCTCCAACAATAACCAGGAAACTCAAACTGTGCCCAGATAAACAGCATCCTGTAGGGGAATTTGGGGGTCAAGGAGGTGGGATGGATAGCAACCCCCACCACCCAATTCTATCTGTGGACCCCTCCTTCCATTCAAATCCTCATGCTCTTGCCTGGCCTACTGGGGAAAACTGGAGAGATCTAGGAGACACCATAGGAGACCCAGGATGGAGAGATCTACCCCAAATACTATTGGCTGAGAGAAAGATCAGAACCCCAGAAAGCTCAATACTAACCTTCAATCTAACCCTAAGCACTGACTCCAAACTTTCACTCTCACTCTAAACCTTAACTGTCAACCTAAACTCTAAACCCCAACCCAGTCTTGCACACAGTAGGTACTTTATAAATGGTGAACTATTTTTGTTAAGGGCATTCTTAACCTGTGTGGTCATCTAGGTTCAAATTCTTGGGAGTCAGCCTTCACTTCTCGTTCTCTCTCACTTGCCATGTTTGATCAGTTGCCAAATCCTTCCAATTCTATCTCCACAATATATCTTACCACGTGTCCGTTTCCTCTCTAGCTACACAGCCACGGCCCTAGACAGACCTCATTAGCTTTCCCTTAGACGACTGCATAAAGCCTCCCTACTGTTCCTCATCACTGCCTCTCCCATAGATACTCCACACAGCAGCCAGGTTGATCTTCTTAAAATACAGATCTGACCATGTTATTCAAGAATCTTTAGGGGCTCCCTTGGTCTTTAGAATTAACAGCTAGGTGGAATCGTAAAATTCCTGGAGTCAGGAAAACAAGTTCAAATTCTGCCCCAGACATTTATTAGCTGTGTAACCCTTTGCAAGTCAGTTCAATTCTATCCGCCTCAAGTTTCCTCATCTGTAAAATGGATATAAAAATGGCATCTACCTCCCAGGGTTTCTATGAAGAACAAATGGGGTAACATAGAACAAGTACCATGAGCTCTAAATAAATGTTCTCAATTATTATCATTTAGAATAAAATACCAAGTCATCAGCCTCTCTACAGTCTCACTCCAGTCTGCTTTTCCCATCCCATCTCATTTTACTCCTCTCCTGTGCCCTCCGTTCTGGTCAGGTTCACTTGATAGCTGTCTAAACCCCTTTGCACACCATTCCATCCCTAATTCTGTGCCTGGGCACAGGTGATCCCTCACACCTGGAATGCACTCGCTCTGGACTTCTGTCTCATCTTCAGATCCCCAGCTTCTTCCAAAGCCCAGCTCGGTGCCATGAAGCTTTTCCTGACTTTCCTTCCTCCCCCAAATGTTTGTGCTCTCTCTCTTGTGAAACGACTTCGAATGATTGTTGCATTTACAGAATCTGTGTACGTACCATATTTCCTTAGAAAAATAGGAGCTCTTTGAGGGCAGGGTCATTTCCCTTTTTGTTCTTTGCCTCCTCGTTGCTTAGTATATTGCCTGACACATAGTAGGTGCTTAAGAAATGTCAGTTAATAGTCAACAAGCATTTAATAAGCCCCTACTTTGTGCCAATGCTGAGAATACGGGAAAAAAGCAACAAGGTCCTTGCTTCCAAAGAGCTCACAGTCTAATGGGGGATGACATGCAAACGATTATGTACAAACAAGATATAAACAGGGCAAACTGAAGATAATCAACTGAGGGAAGGGACTGGAATTAAAGGGGATCAGGAAAGGCTTCTTGTAGAAAGTGAGATTTTAGCTGAGATTTGAAGGGAGTCAGGAAGCAGAGATGAAGAGGGAGAGAAGTCCAGGTGTGGGACACAGCAAGGAAAATTACTTGGAATCAGGAGATGGAGTCTCTAATGCTAAGAACAGCAAGACCTTTGTCACTGCATCACAGAGCAGATGGAAAGGTGAAAGAATAAGAATACTGTAAAGGTAAGAAGGGGGTGGTTTATGAAAAGCTGTAAAAGTCAAACAGAAGAGTTTATGTTTGATCCTGCAGGTAACATGTAGCCAGTGGAGCTGATTGAAGTTGGGGAGAGGGGAAAGGGGTGTCTCATGGTCAGACCTGCACTTTAAGAAGATCCTTATCTTCTAAAATATAGAGAGTATTAAGTCAAATTTATAAGAATACAAGTCATTCTCCAATTGATAAATGGTCAAAGGATATGAAGAGGCAGTTCTCAGATAAAGCCATCTATAGTCATATGAAAAAATGCTCTAAATCACTGTTGATCAGAGAAATGCAAATCAAAACAACTCTGAGGTACCACATCACACCTATCAGATTGGCCAACATGACAAAACAGGAAAATGATAAATGTTGAAGAAGATGTTGGAAAATTGGAGCATGAATGCATTGTTGGTGGAGTTGTGAAATGATCCAACCATTTTGGAGAACAATTTGGAACTATGCCCAAAGGGCTACAAAAATGTGCATACCCTTTGATCCAGCAATAGCACTTCTAGGGCTATATCCCAAAGAGATCAAACAAATGGGAAAAGGACCCACATGTACAAAAATATTATTAGCAGCTCTTTTTGTGGTGGCAAAGAATTGGAAATTGAGAGGATGCCCATCAATTGGGGAATGGCTGAGCAAGTTGTGGTATATGAATGTAATGGAATACTATTGTGCTATGAGAAATGATGAACATGCTGACTTCAGAAAAACCTGGAAAGACTTGTATTGATGCTGAGTGAAGTGAGCAGAACCAGGAGAATCTTGTACACATAACAGCCATATTATGTGATGACTAATATTGATAAACTTAACCTTTCCCAGCAATACAAGGATCTAAGACATCTCCAAAAGTCTTGTGATGGAAAATGCCATCCACATCCAAAGAAAGAACTATGGAGTTTGAATGCATATCGAAGCATACTGTTTGCTATTTTTTTTCTTCTGTTATGTTTTGTTTCCTCTTTCTGGTGGTTCCTCCTATTGGTTCTAATTCTTCCTTACAACATGACTAATGTGAAAATATGTTTAATAGGAATGTATATGTATAGCCTATAGCAGATTGTGTGCTGCCTTGGGGTCGGTGGTAGGAGGGAGGGGGAGAAAAACTTTAAACTCAAAGGCATATGGAAGTGATTGTTGATAAATCAAAATTAATTTAAAATTTTTTAACAAAAGATCCTTATCACAGGTGTTTTGCTGGACTGAAGTAAATTGTTGAATCCCGACCTTTACTGAAACTCTTCCTCTAACCCTAACCTAACCCTTAACCAAGGACCTGACCCTGACAATGGAATGGATTGCCACCATAGGCTCTTCGGCAAATGCTAGAGGACTCCTGTCAGGGAAGTTGTAGAAGGAAGCTAAGCAAGGTCACTACCACCTGTGCAAGACCTAATACTGCTTAGTGTCTCTAGTAGCATTGGCCCTAATGGCAACAGACACAGGAGAAGAACTGGGAAGAAGGGTAAGATTGAGAGGAGGAGAGAACTCATGTGCATTTTTTTTTTTATGCTCAGCCCATATTCTTTTAGGGCTCACTCTCCCATACCGGAGCATAATGGAGGGAAGAAAGAGGGACAGGGAGATCACTCAGAGAGCCCTGAGTTTTCTCCTCTTTCCTAATCCTGGGGATTTCTAGGAAAGCATGAGTGCAGGAAGAAGAGGAGGAGAAGGAAGAAGAAAGCCTTATGGTGGCTTTCCGGCCAAAGGCCCCGCCCTCCCTCCCTTTAGTTATTCTCCCCCACTACAAAACCAGGCTGTAGCCTCCAGAATTCTGATGGAGCTGGAGGCCAAGTGGAACGGCAGCTCAGAGCAAGTGGAATTCGGCAGGATGTCACCAAGAAGCCAGGGTGAGGGCGTATGTTTGGAGGGGGTGCGGGGGTAGGAAACAGGAGGGACTGGGAATACTGGAGATGATTGAAAGCTAGTTTGCTGTAGCTCCTGCCTTCTTGCCCCCTGCAGTGACCCCAAGCTCTTGGCATTCAGTGGGCTTTATAGAGCCTGATGGCTGCCAGAGTATGAGGTGACTGAGCCCCACGGGATGGCATCCTTCCAAGACTCATGTTCCCTGACCAGGCTATCTGAGCCTAGGTCAGACCTTCCCCAGGTACCCCATCTTCTGATTTTTAGGTGGATCAAAGATCATAGATTTAGAGTGGAAGAGTCCTATGAGGTCATCAATTCCAACCTCCTTCACTTTACAGATGAGAAAACCAAAGCTCAAGGAAGTTAAGTGATTTGCCTAAGGTCACAGCTAGTATCTAAGGCAGAATTCAAAACCAGGTCTTTCTGACTCCAAGTTCATCTCTCTGTTACGATGCTAATGATTAGGAAGGGTGCAGGGAAAGAGAGGAGAGAAGAATCCCATTCCTTCACTGCACCTCAGTTTACTCATACATAAAATGAGAGGTTTTTACTAGAATAATCTCTAAGGCTCTAGTCCCCAGGATCTTATGACAAAAACAAAAGCATTCTAGACATGAAGAGTTAAGAGGGGAACGGAGAATTCAGGATATGGAAATGGAGAGACAGGGCAGTATGCTCCTAGAGAACAGGGTTTGGGATATGGAAACACAGGGAAATGAGGTCATGGGGTCACAGATTTAGGGCTGAAAGGATCCTCAGAGATCATCTAGTCCAACCAATTCATTTTACAGATGAGTAAACTGAGACCCATAGAGGCTGTCTTGATAGTAAACATTTATATAGTCCATTGAGATTTGCAAAGTGTTTTATAAATAGTATTTCATTTGATCCTCACAACAACCTTGTGAGGTAGGTACTATTATTATCCTCATTTTACAGATTAAAAAGCTGAGGCAGACAGAGGTAAAGTGACTAGCCCAGGATCACACCCAAGAAAGATACAAGGGCAAGATTTGAACTCAGAACTTTCTGACTGCTACTCTGTCTCTCTATCCACTAAGTCATCTAGCTAGTACAAGGTCACACAGGTAATAAGTAGTAGCATAGACACTAGAGTTAGGCATATGGGATAATGGAGAGATAAGGAGAGGTATTAAAGGACTTTAGAGACCAGAAGATGGAAAGATGCAGAATATGAGAATGGAGCTGAGCACGTATATGAGCAGAGTATGAGAATGGTGCGTGCTTGTAATCCTTGCTACTAAGGTCTGAGGATGGTGAATAGCTTGAGTTTAGGAGTTCTGAGCTACCATGAGCCAAGTCATCAGGGGTGTAGACTAAGTCCTGCACCAATATGGTGAGTCCCCAGTAGCAAAGGGCCACCAGGCTGCTTAAGGAAGGTCGAACAGGCTCAAATCAAAAAAAGAGCAGGTCAAAGTTCCTGTGTCGATCAGGAATGGGGTTAGACTGTTAGATTCATGAGTGGCCACCGCACTTCCAGTCTGGGTGAGGTTGGCAGAACCAGTTTCCCTACCCCTTGAAAAAAAAAACTACATATACACACATACATATGTACATATGCACATATACATATGTATATAGACACATATACATGTGTATATACACACATACATATGTACATATGCACATATACATATGTATATATACACATATACATGTGTATACATGTGTATATATACACATGACACACATGCATATTCCTATCTATATGAATGGGGAAATAGATATAGATTAGATAGACATATAAATGGTATAGATATAGCTGATATACATATAAATAGATGAGAATGGGAGATTCCAGTATGGAAGATAGCGGGAAGGACAGATCCATGAGTTGGAGAACAGAGGGCTAGACATTCCTAACTGGAATGGGCTACCCCTTCCCTGGAGGTCTCCAAGCAGAGTTGTTGGAGGACCATTTGTCAGAATCAGCAGGCAATAGGAAAGAAGTGGGGAGGGGAGTATCATCAGGGGATTTGGGGAACTAGGGCTGAACCAGCCTCAGGGAGGTTGGAAGGAGCAGAGACTGGGGCTCCAGTGATGGAGACAGAAAAGGGCAGGAAGACATGTGGCCGCCCCAGCTCTTCACCTCGGAGCCAGTAACTAAGGGAACAGTCACATAATGAGCATCTCTGGGACTCAAGGGCATGGGCCAGTATTGCCAAGCCAACAGGGTCATACAGTAGAGTTTGGTATTTGATGTCAGAGGTGGTCAGTGGTCAGTTGTCTAGTCACATCCAACTCTTTGTAACCCCATGGACCACAACATGCCAGGCCCTTCTACCTTCCACTCTTTCCCAAAGTCTCTCCAAGTTCATGTTCGTTGTTTCCATGACACTATCTATCCATCTCATTCTTTGCCATCCCCTTTTCCTCTTGCCTTCAATCTTTCCCAACATCAGCATCTTCTCCAACAGAGTCAGAAGATTTGGGTTCAAATCTTACCCTGACAGACACTGAATACCTACCTGACCATGAACAAGTCACTTTCTTCATCTGTAAACCAAATCTGTATTTTTGTTTCTATATTTTCAAGGTCTAGCATAGTGCCTAGCACACTGTAGGAGCTTAACAAACGCTGGCTGAATTTAATTCTGTCCTGAAGGAATCCTTCTAATGGGCCCTCCCTGCTGGCGGGCCTCACTCAGGGTCCCTTCACCTGCCTAAGGAACCCTGAGTCTTGGACTCAAGAGGAAAGAGGCTGAGGTCAGGGCTGCCATGGCACAAGATGAAGGCCTAGTACCAGACCAAGTCACAGGACAGAGAGCCAGAGCCTTCCTTCCCCAAACCCGTCCTTCACCTCTCCCTGCCATCTTCTTCCCCTGGCTTCCAGGATTCACGAAGCTGCCTGGCCAGAAGACCTGTGGGAAGAGTGTACTCCTCTTTGTCTCTGTGCTGCTGATCTCCATGGCTCTGTGGGGAACGCTCCTATTCTTGTTCCTAACTCGGTGTAAGAATATCCCCCCACCCCCCCATTCCAGGCCCTCTGGTCCCTACTTCTTACTCCAGGACCCATTCTTCAAACCATTAACCTGAAAACCCAAAGAAAAGGGCTCAAAAGCTGTGGGAGTGGGGTGAGGGTGGGGTGGGGGTGGGGAAGAAAGCTGGGCCAGGGGAAGGGGGATGTAAAAAAAAGATGAGCACTCATATTGCCCTGATTCCTCTAGTCAAAGAAATAGCCCAGGACTTGGAGAAGCTTCAGGAGTCCTGTGTGTACCACAATGGTACGTATATCACCCAGTGAGACCCTAAGATGTTGTATCCCGCTCCTCTGTCCTGGACCCAAAGATCTCAACTGACTCTCAGCCTTACCCTATGATTCTCTTTTATTTCCCAATACCAACCCCACCCCACTACCTCCCACAATCACAGAGCACACAACCAATACATTTTGCAGATGAGGAACTTTGGGCCCCTGGAGAGGGGGAATGGGGGATAGGACTCATCCAAGGCCACATAACTAATAGTGGCAAAGCTCACACTAGAACTCAAGTCTTGGGACTCTTCAGGTCTGGGTGCTTTTCATGTTCCTCTTACCTAGGCCTGTAGAACCTAGAATGACTCCGTGCCCTTGAAAGGAATGACCTATTAATCCTGAAATAATCCCTGATTGGCAAAAATCACACCCCCTCCCCGGGACCACAGAATGAATTCTCGGGTAGATGGTCCTCCTGGAATGTCACCCCACCCCTTATCTTGTGGAATGACTCCTCTGGCCCAGCCCTTGACTTTCTCCTCTCTCTTCTCTCAGACTCTGGGATTGTGACTATCATTAGGCAGCTACAGGCGGATCAGTGGAACCTCAAAAACAATGGTGAGTCTCAGGCTGGGTGTATCTGGGGTCACGCTGGATGAACGGGTCTCAGCCAGAGCCCTGAGGGTTTATGAAAGAACAGGGGAAACTGCTCCATGCCAACATGAAGACCAGCATGTCAACATTAACACCAGGCTGAGGAGATGGTACATGGGAGCTGCGGGAGGGGGCAATGTGGAGAAACTGTGCAACCTTGAGGAAGTCCCTTCCCCTCTCTGAGCCCTTATGACAGAGACAGGTCATTCTGCCCTACCAGTTCCTGGGACATCCCTTGGGATAATGGATTGACACATAGGGTATGACTTCATCAATCTCTTTCCTAAGACCTGTGAGGAGAGGCCGGACTCTCTCCTTCTCTCCTCAAAAAACAGACCTGGAGATTTAGTGGACCATGGATCAACAGGTGATATGACAGCCAAAACAATCAACATGTTCTTAAGCTGCACTGAGAGAGTTCTAGCATCGAGGATGGTTGGTGGTGCTATCTTTTATCCCACTGTGCTATCCTGGTCAGACTTCATCAGTATTATGTTCCAAATGGGTACCACCATTTGGGAAAGATACTGTCTTTCTGGAAATTGTCTCAGAAAGCAGCAAGAACAGTGAAGGACTTCAGTTTATGCCCATGAGGATTAGCTGAAGTAAGTGGGGATATCTAACATGGTGAAGACAAGAGGGAAATTGAGAGCTGTCTTCAAGCATTGGCAGAGTTGTCAGAGAGAGAAGAGACTTACTCTGCTTGACTCTGGGAGGCAGAACCAGTAGTGGAAGCTAGAAGTTAACAGAGAGACAAATATGACTGTCCCAAACTGAAATGGACTACCCTTAGAAGCCCTCTAGAGGTCTTCTACCACAGATGGGAAGCCCACTTATTAGAGACAGAGCTGACAAAGTGATTACTGTTCAAGTAAAGAAATGGACTATGGGGTGCCTTTCAAATCCCTGGCCCTGGGTGGGAACTAGGACAACAGACCTTCTGTTCTGAAGGCAGCATCCATCCCCAAGACCAACCTTGTTCTCACTTTCCCTTGAAGTCCCTCAGCTCTCCAAGGCCCTGAACAAACTCCAGGAAGACCAAACAACCATGAAATCTAAAGGTGAGAAAGTTCCACGATGGGAAGGTGGCCTTTTGCTGAGGACAAGGTATGAGGAATCTTTGCCTTCCTTGGTAGCAAAGGCAAACACCTGAGCTTTCTCCAAGACTCCTTGATCATGACTTTATGTCTTTGGACCCCAAAGCCGGCACCAGCCTCTGAGCTGGTTCAGTTTCTCAATGGGGTGAGGCAAAAGTGTAGAATAGCAGAGGCCCAGAGGCATCAGCCCTGGAGAAGAGAGGAACCATGAGTCAATCCAGAGAAATGTGTTTAGGAGTTCACCTGTGGTGGCCTCTAGGCTCCACAGGAGATCACAGGACAAGAAACTGGGGACAGGGAAACTCAAAGACCCTTTGCCTAGAAGGGAAAATTTGCCTCCACAAACTGACCCTGTTCTTCAAAAGTCAATTTTCCAAGATCCTGAAAGAACTACCAGCTGAATAGATAGCCTTAAAATCTCAGGGCTTAGAGACATGGGGGATGTCAAATAGGGGAAGGGGTAACATAGTGGTTGGGGGAATATAGAAGATGAGGAACAACAGACGTGGGAAATGAGGACCCTAAGGAACATAAGATATAAGGGAGGGAGCCCTTGGAGATGGGAAATACAAGGGGAGGTTGTCCTGAGGGATGTAAGGGAAGGAGGTCCTAAGGAGATGGCGGTTTTGTGGATTATCCCTTTGCCTAAGATGAACAATTTTCCCCTCTTCCACTCCCCCACCCTAGCCTCTCAGATCGATCAACAACTGGACAGAATTGAAGCAGACAGAACAGCCTTCAAGTCCCAGGGTGAGAAGATGGGAATAGAGGAGGAGGGTTGTGGGAAGAGAGGCTTGCGGGAACACAGAACCAAGTCCTGAAGGAAGGGGACAGAAAAAGGTGAAGGAGGAGTGGAGAGATGAACTTGACCCCAGAAAGACGTTAATCCTAAAGGCTGCTCTCCCATTCCCAATGTCCTCGACATCTGCAGTGCTGAATGAGAAGAACGCTGTGACTCAGGCTCAGGAAAAACTGCAGGAAGAGATCCAGAAGCTTTGGACTGAATTCCATAGGGCAAATGGTGAGAAGGCAATTGGTGAGGGTGGGATCTTCCCCTCCAAGCTTCACCCATCAGTTCCCTTTTATTCCTCCATGTAGCCCTTTCCTCAAAGCTGAATAATCAGAGCCAACAGACTCCTCAGACCCTGGGGAGTGGGGCCACAGCTTCAACTCCACTCTTCAGCCTTTCTGGATTCATCAACAGAGTTTCTGTGTTACCATCTCTACCTTCCTTTCTCATTTTCTACCACACCTCACACTGCTCTCCTCTCCACTCATAGACCCCAACCTCAGACTCCAAAGGAAGAACCTTCCAAGGTTTCTAATCCAAACTCTCTCTCAGGATAGGGATCACTTCTACAGCCTCCCCAACAATGGGTTATCTAGCCACTGTCCAAACAAACTCATCCACACTTAATACTTTAGTGGTGATGGTAGTGATGATGGTAGTAGTGGGTGGTAGTGCTTGTGATAATGGTAATGATGGTGCTGGCTCCTCTGCCTAGGATGGAGAGTTCTCCCCTCTTCCCCCTCCCCAAACTCCACTGCTTCTCAGATCTCCCAAGGACTGGACAGGCTTGAAGAAGACCACACAACCATGCCAACTCAGGGTGAGACACTGAGAACAAACATTGATGATGTTCATGGTATTCACAGTCATAATGGTGTTGATGATGATGATGATGGTGATGACGTTAATAGAGACAATGATCATGATATGGTGGAGGAGTGCTAGTGATGCTGGTGATGGTGATGGTGACATTGATGATGGTAAAGAGATTGAAACGATGATGTTGATGCTATTATTGGAGACAATGGTGACGCTGATGAAGTTAACGGTTGTGATGTTGGTGATGATAGAACTGGTAGTGGTGATGATGATGGTGACACCTTTGGTGATGTTGACAATGAGAGTGGTGGTGATAATGGAAGTTATAATGATGATGGCATCAGTGACGTCAATAGTGGCATTAGACGATGGTGGGTGGTAGTGGTAGTGATTGTTGGTGATGGTGGAAGGGGAAAAGGGAACCAGCATTTATATACCACACATTATGTGCCAGGCACTGTCCTAAGCCTTTCACAAATATTATCTCACTTGATCCTCATAACAATCATGAAAGGTAGGTCTATTATTCTCATTTTACAGTAGAGGCAAACAGAGTGACTTACCCAGAATCATACAGCTAGTAAGTGTACGAGGCTGGATTTGAACTCAAGTCTTCCTGACTCCAGGTCCAGCTCTCTGTCCACTTTGCTACCTGGTGGAAGTGGTAGCAGTGAAAGTAATAAAGACAATGATGATGGTGGCAGCGATCGAGGTTGGTGATGACAGTGATTGTGGTGGTGATATTACTAATGACTACGGTAATGGTGGAGATGATAATAATGGTGATGATGAGAGTGGTAATGACAGTGGAGGTGAGGATGTTAATGGCAATCAACCATGGTGATGGGAGTGATGTGATGGGAGTGATGATGGTGATAGCCTCCAAGCTTCTTTCCAATGATAAGATTCTGTGCTTCACTCCTTATCTTAAGCTCCATTTGCTCACAAGGAAAAATCCTGAAGGTGGCCATGAGTGGTGGCTGGAAGCTTCCTATGCCCCAACTCCTTTGCTTGCCTTTTTCTCTTGCTATAGGCTCTGTCTGCACAAATTGCCCAGAAGACTGGCAACTGTTCCAGAAGAAATGCTACTTTTTTGGGAAGGAGCCCAAGACATGGTCCCAGGCCAAGTTTGCCTGTATCAACCTTCAGGGCCGGCTGGTCAGCATCAAAAGCAAAGAGGAGCAGGTAGGATATCTCAGGGGCTGAGATCCAAGGGGGGCTGAGCTGAGCTGAAAAAGGGAAGCTGAGTGACCAGGGCAGGTTCCAGGCTAGGTCCCTAGGCAGATCCCTCCTAGAGTATAGAGGGTTTAGTAGAGCCTAAGGGCCCACCAGGGATGCTTCCCTCCCTTTTCAGGGGGCTGGACTGATGGGTTCAGAATGAAATGACTACTTACAGGAAAAGATTGTAAAAAGGATGTCTGATGCCCCAGGAGGTGATGAGTCCTAAGGGAGGCACACCTGGGGACCCAGATATCCTGTCCCTTACCCTCGGGGGCTTTAACCTATTGCTTGACCTTCCTTCAGGACTTCCTAACCCAGAGGGCCAACAAGAAGGGTTCCTGGATTGGCCTCCGAGATCTGGACATAGAGGGCGAGTTCATATGGATGGATGGGAGTCCCCTGAACTACATGTGAGTTGGGGGAAGATCCAAGGAAGTGGGATGGAGTGGAAGCTCAAAGCCAGAGCTGTCAGGCAATTACAGTGTCTCTGTCTTCTGTCTGTCTCTGTCTGTCTGTCTGTCTGTCTCTCTCTCTCTCTCTCTCTCTCTCTCTCTCTCTCTCTCTCTCTCTCTCTCTCTCCCCCTCCCTCTCTGTCTTTCTCTTTCTGGAAATTATCTGCTTTTCAGCAACTGGAGCCCAGGGGAGCCCAACAACCAGGGTCAGGGGGAGGACTGCGTGATGATGCGTGCCAACAATGGCCGTTGGAATGATGCCTACTGTCGGGGGCAACAGGATAGCTGGATCTGTGAGAAGCTAGCCACATGCTGACCATTGACCATGGCCAAAGGCCAACAACCTGAGGCTAGCAACCAGCTTTAGCCCTGACATGGCAGGGTCGAAAGGTTTCTTATTTCTCATCCAGAAGGAACAGGAAGGAATCCCCCTCCTAACCCCGGACCTGAAACCTCATGTCTCTGATCCTGCATCCTGTGCCAGATTCTGGCCCTCCCATCCCTTGGCTCTCTGCCCTACTCCAGACCTTCCTACTCCTGGACTAGGACTCCAAACCCCAAATTCCTAGTCTCCAGGCCCTTCCCTGAACTGGGAAGGAACAACCACCCTCCTCCCAGCACTTTCCCTGAGGTTGAAGGAAAGGCCAGCCCTCCAGTCCCAACCTTCCCTGAACTCCAAGCCTTCCATCCCAGGACGTCCACATGCTCACAATCTCACCTGCTTCCTCACCCACCAAAGATTCTTGGCTAGAGTTCCCAAGGTATGCCGGGGAAAGCTGATTTTGTTCTGGCTCTTCCCTTCCTCCCACTCTGCCCCAGTGGGTCAAAGAATGGGGTCAACCTCATACTGTTTTTTTCTCAAGAGAGGAATTGTGTCCACAGCAGCCCACCACTGACCTGAGAGGCTTGGTTTTTCTTCTCAGTTCTTCTGCAAACAGAAGCCTCCTGAGTTTCTCTCCACATCTCTGCTCCTGACCTCTGTTCAAAAGCAGCCACACCATTCATATATGGGAGCATTAAGGCCTCTAGCCCAGCCTATGGCCCACTAAAGGTCTAGGACTGCATACCCACCTAAGCCACAGTCCAAATCTAGTTCTGATCGGTCGCGTTCCAAACTCCCCATCTGTTCCTTCCCCCCACCCCAGCAGAACTCATTCCCCAAGTCTCACTTTTGCTCCCTGTCCCTCAGCTCCACTCCTAAGGCACACAAGAGGCTGAAGGTTCTCTGGGGTTATCATCAAATCCTGGTCCTCGGGGTGTCTCCAGGAAGCTTTAAAGAGCAAAATCTACTTGTAGAATAGTCAGTTATCTGCCACCCGTAGGATCTGGAGATGGATGGGCCCTTAAAGATCAGTTAGCCCAATCTCCTCGTCTTACATTTAGGGAAAACATGGCCCAGAGATAAGTGATTCGCTCAGGGTCAGTAAGTAGAAATACGTGGCAGAGCTGAGACTGGAGCCCAGTTCTTCTGACTCCAGATCCCGGGCTCTCTCCCCACAGACTGTGCAGATCCCCTTTTCACTAGTCTGGCCCATGTCCTGTCAGTCCATGTCCACCCTCTCCCACCAATGCATGAGGTTCAGAAGCTCGCAAGCCCTTTAAGCTTGCTAGCCAGGGCAGCCTGCCAGGGCCCACTACAGCCTTGCTGGACAAGTCTCTCTTCTTCTTTGACCCTCAGTTTTGTCTCATGGGCCAGAAGGCTTTTAAAGGCCCCTTCTGGTTCTAAATACTGTAATGCAGCGCTCTCTGTGGGATCTTCCCAACGTGACAGTGCAGGCAGAGTCTGGACTAACTCCCTAACAAGCCACCTCCCTTGTGTTTCCCTTATCACTTAAAGAATTAGTGGCAGCTTCTCTGGGAGCTCTTCCAGGGCTGATCACAGAAGCTTGAGCTGCTCTGCCGTTGCCTTGGCCCCACGACTACTTTCCCAGGCTTGTTTTTGCCCAAATGAAGGCCCGACCCTTCCTCCTGACACTCTCTCCCGCCAGTCCCAGAATGTAGCACATTCCCAGTACAAACTAGTCTCATTTCTGCATCTATTGACAACAAAAGCCTCCTGTTGTTTTATTCTGAATTCTCCTCAGCTCACTGATTCAACAAATGTTCTTCAAGGACATCCTGTGTGCAGGGCACAGTAGCCTCTCTAATGAGAAACTCAGGACTGGGATTTCATTAGCAGGGTTTGGCTCCCTCACTCCTCAGGCCCCCAGCTGCCCAGACACATCCAGAGAATAAGACCTGTCAGAAAGGACCACAATCTGAACTACTGACTGGGGATCCTTCCAAGCTGCCTATATTCACGCTGATGCAGGGGGACCTTCCCCACAAGCACATAAGGGCCTAATCCTTAGCTTGGAAGTTCTATCCACTCTCCAGTTCCCCATTCAGTCTTCAAGGGGGCTCACTGGCATAAGGCCAAGAGTAGGTGCAAGAGCCCTTGGACTCTATCTGCAAGGAGCACCTGGGGGGGGAGGGGGGCTGACCATGAGTACAAAACAAAAGACTTGGGCCATTCGAGCATGCCCATGGAAATAAAGCCATTAACTAGTGTCAGAATCACAGAAACTAACACTAGAAGGGGCTTAGAGATCAGCAAATCCAAACCCCTCACTTTGAAAAGAGGGAAAATAAGGCCTACAAAGGGCTTGAGGTCACAAAGTGGATGAGTGACAGAGCCAAGATCTGACAGCCCAGGTCTAACTGCCATGTCACCAACTGAGTTGCTGTACAAGGATGCTTTCCCTCTCTGGGGCTCAGTTTCCCATGTGGGAGCTGGATTAGATGGTCTCAGAGGGAAAGGTCCCACATATACAAAAGTATTTAATTATGGAGGTAGTTTTCACAGTAGCAAAAATCTGGAAAAAGTAGGTGCCCATCAACTAAGATATGGCTGAACTCTGGTATGTGAATGCAACTGAATATTTTTGTGCTGTAAGAGATAAAAATGAAGAATTTGGAGAAATCTGAGAAGGCTTATATGAGATAATGCAGTAAGAAGGGAGGATAACCAAGAGAATAAAACTGTAAATATGTAGGTAAAGGAAAAACAACCAAAGACATCAGAACTCTGTATCCCAGGGATCTGTCCTCGCCCCATCACCCTCTTCTCCTTTCTCCCTACCCACTATCTAAATTCTTGATTGTCCCATCAGCTCCAATAAGTTCTACTATTATCTATCTACATGCATGTGGTTCCCAAATCTACCTATAAAGTTCTCATCTATCTCCTGAGCTCCAATCCTAACCAATGTCCCCCCCCAACCTTAATGACCCATCCCATCACAATCTCAAACTCACTAAGTCCTAAACAGAACTCATCTTTCCCCCTTCTAATTCCCCTCCTTCTGTCCAGGGCGCCACCAAACTTCCAGGCTCACAAATGGAGGTCATCTCAATTCTTCACACTCCCTCACCAAACGCATTCAATCAATGACCAAGTTTTGCTGATTCTACTCAAGTGCCATCCTTCACATCTGATCCCTTTTCTCCACTCAAAGCTACCACCCTAATTCAAGCCCTCATCACCTCTCTCCTCAACTATTCCAATAGCCTCTAAATTGGTCTCCCTGCCTAAGTTTCTCGTTGCTCCAGTCCATCTTCCAAACAACAGCAAACAGAATAAACCCTAAAGCACAGATCTGACCATGTCACTGCCTGCTCAGAAAGCCTTGGAGGCTCCCTATTGCTTCTAGAATCAAATACAGAGCCCTCCACTCAGCATCAAAAGCCCTTCGCAATCTACCTCCAACCACTCTTTCCATTCTGAGTTGTCATTACACCCTCTCATGCACTACATTCCTGTAAAACTGGCCTTCTGGCATTCCACCTCCACTTCCTTACCTTTTCATAGGTGGCCTAGAACACTTTCTCCACACCTCCACCTCTTAAAATGGCTAGATTCCTTTAAGGCTCTGCTCCAGGGGCACCTCCTATAAGAGGTTTTTCCAGGTTCACCCAGTTGTTTGGGTCCCTCCCACCAAAAAAAAAACTGCCTTATATTTTTGTATATATTGTGTATTTAATTACCGGCATACATGTTGTTTCCTCCATTCCACCACAAGCCCCAAGCTGACTGTGAGCTCCTCGAGGGCAAACGTTCTTCCTTGTTTGCCTTTGTGCCCAGCTTGTCACAGTGCCCGGCACAAAGATTTTTAATAAATGTTTAATAAATGCTTATTGAACTGAACTGAATTAAATCGCCTTGACAAATCAGGAAATTTAGTCTCCAAAGGACTAGTAATGAGACATCCCCTGCCCCCCTGCTCCGGAAGAGATGGTGGACTACAGGTACAGAACAAGACATAATTTGTCACGCACAGCCAATGTGTTGATTTGTTTTGATTAATTAAATTTCTTTGCTACATGGATGACTTCTATTGTGGGGTGGGGAGGGTTCCTTGGGAAACTATGGTTTTGGAGTTTTTTAAAGTCTAGATGGTATTTTAAGTCCTTTCCAATTCTGAGAGTTTCTTAAGTGACAACTGGAGTCTTTAATCCAGGCCTGTGCTTTTCACTAAACACACAATTAGTCTGGGAAATTAAGCATAGACAGAATGATAATGAGTCACAGGATGTAAAGCTGGACAGGACCTCAGAAATCATCTAATTCAATCCCTTCATTTCACTGCATAAAGGGAGGTCCAGGGAGGGAAAGGGATTTGTCCCAAGTCACAAAGAGAAAAGAGCAGAGTGAGGATAGAAACCTAGCTCCTCCAGCTCATGAGCTCACCAGATTGCTTCCTGGCAGTGACTACAATACAGACAGCAGAAGGCTCTATGTCCTCTGCCTCCAGACTTTGAGAAGACCAAGGTTCAGCCTAAATGGCTCTCTTCAAATGGTGCTAAGCTTGGCATCACAAAGAGGGCATCCAAAAAAGGTTTTGTGAAATGAACATGGCAGGGCCAGCCCTCAACTTCTTGGCCAAGTTCACATCCCTAACCATTTACTCCCCAAGGCAAACTCAGCTATAGCACCCAGAGCTGTGCAGATGACAAGCACAAGACATGGTTGAGGCCCTCTTCCCATCCACATGGCCCCTGACCACTAGGAGGCTGGACTGGTACTCCATCCCTGCGCTCTCAGACTCAAATCTCAGGAAACAAAGTGTCCAAGAACACAGAGATGGGCAGGAAAAGAAGAGAAGACAGGAAGGCATGGTAAGCTCCGCTCTGTGTGAGGTGACCAAAGAAAGAAAAGGACAACAGATTATCTCCAGGAACACTTAACTTTAATGTATATCACACTGTTCTAGCAGCAATTCACTGTCCTCAGAGCTCCAAAAGAAATTATGAGGACTGAACTATCACCCAGGACTCAGGTGGGTGAGGGGGGAAGGGGCAGGAACTGAGAAAGGACAGAGGAATCCTGGGGCGAGACAGGGATTAAACATTTGACCATACTCTTTCCCTAGAACTGAGATGGAAACCCAAACCTTCTGCCTCTGACTGTATAATAGCTACTAAAAGGCCAGTTTTGGGTCTGATTATCCCTACTCAAGCAGGAATAGAAACCATTGGAACAGCTCTGTTTCTAATCCCCAGCCCGTGTGTCATGGGATAGAATCATCTGGAACCTCCCCTTCTCCAGGAAGCAGATATGGAGCCACGGGGACCTGCAAACAGATATCCCCTAGACGTTGCTTCTAAAGAAGACATGAGGGTCCGGTGACTACAATACAGACAGACTGTAGAATTTCTTCAAGGGAAACTGCCTGTCTTCCCTGGCTAGGGGATAATGTACAGAAGCCCCTACACTGAGTTCCCCAAGAAAACAGGCAAAGAAGAGTCAAGGGGTAAGAAAACCCAGGTGATAGGAACTGGACCCTCCCCTCTTCCCACCCCCACTCATCTCCAAACCATTCAGGAGATGACACAGAAAAAAAAATAAAAAAAAAACCAGGCCAAACCCAGACCATGGAGGTTAGCCTCATCAAGTCCAGAGCCTGAGCCCCTTGCCCCTGAGCATGCCAGGGAACAGATTCCCTGACACCAGAAACTATAGACAGATGAGGCCTGGTGACTGAATGCAGAGAGTTAAGAGCCGGGAGGAGTGACGAGGGTTCACATCACAGCAGAAAGGCTGGGGGCGGGCAAAGGTCGCTCATCTGGCAATGGGAGCAATCCGGGGGACAAGGGACCGTGGCTCAAAGGTACAAAGAAGGGCCCGGCCCTATCATTCCCTAGTCTGTCCTCAGCTCAGCGCCCATCCAGGGCCCGGTCCCGGGCAATGACAGCCTCGTCGAACTTGATCATGAGGGTGGTACCCTTGTGCCAGTGGGCAGTGACCTTGGCAGGGAAGCCACTGTGGGTGAGTACAGCTTCAACGACACCTGCTGTGAAGCTGGCACAATTAAGTGTGCTGTTCTCCTTAGGCACAGAGATGTAGGTGTTGATGAGCGGTTCACGCTCGATGATGTAGTACGTCTTGTCATCATCGTTGGCTTGTTCCAGCTTGTCTGCCTCCTTGCCAAAGAGTGCCCGCCACACTGCACCCTTGACAAAGAGCAGTGCACCCAGTACCCGGGTCTCCCGTCGGCCTCCCTTCTCCCGAGTGGCCAGGCCGTCCAGCACTCGGGCGCCTACCTGCTGACCCAGTTCTGCCAGCCGTGCCTGCAGCTCTGCCACAGAGTATACACGATTCTGGCAATACTGAACCAGCTCCGAGAACAGCAGGGAGAAGGCACTCAAGCTCACCTCCGTCTTGGGCCTCACTAGTGACCGCTCCAGGATGGCCGACTTCCCCCTTGTGAATCGTGCATCCATGGCCTCGAGGCAGTGGGAACAACCTTAGGGGGAGAAGCAATAGTGTAAGAGAAAGAGCCCTGAGCCGGGAGTCAGATGCCTGCATGCCAGCTCCAGCTCTATCATGAGCCCCTATGTGACCTGGGACAAGTCCCTTTCATAGGGAATCATAGACTAAATAATCATCTAAGTCTAACCCATTCCTGAACCAGCTCCCCAGCACATATCTGGTAAATGGTCATCTGGCCTCTACTGAAGATCTACACGTGGGGAAAATATTACGTTCCAAATAGAGGCAGCCTAGGCTACTTTTGAACAGCTCTCATTATTAGGAGGTTTTTCCTTACGTTGCATCTATATCTGCCTCTCTGAGACTTTCCACCCCCTCCGCCTCATTCTGGCATCTCGGGCCAAAAAGAACGAGTCTAATCCCTTTCTTGTATGACACAAATACACAAAGGACTGGTTCATCTGAGCAACATTACCAAAGAGCCTCTGCCAATTCAGACTGCTGCCCCAGCCAGCCTTGGACTTAGTTGGAAGTACCAGAGGATTACATGGTGCACACAGAGGGGAGATGACTGACCCAGGATCACAGGGCTAGTACTGGAGGCTAGATCTGAACAATGATGGTCTTCTTGGATTTAATCCCAGCTTTCTACCCACCATCTCATGCTGTCTCTTTGTATGCTCAAAGCCAGGCCTTCCACCAACCCCAAGTCTTCTCTTTTCCAGGCCAAACACGCCCAGTTCCTTCCTCTAATTCCCTCACTGCCACAGTCACTTTATCTGGACGTGCCTCCACTTGTTACAAGTATTTGTAATTTTCTCAGTGTAAGGTACTTAGAGTGCTAGGAACAAGAGCAAATAGGGTCACCTTTAGGGAGAAGCCACCAGGACTAGCTTCGGTCAACATGCCAAGGTCTTTCCTAAAAAGTGGCCCCAGAGTATTAGGGATACAACACTACAGCTATGGACTGACTAGAGCAGAACTATATTCTTTTTTTTTTGTATCTTCAGCATACAGTAGATGTTTAATAAATGCTTATTGCATGGATCTGAATTGAACTAAATTCTAGACATTATACCTCTCAATGAACTCACTTCTGGCTGTCAAGTCACACTGTTACCTCACATTGAGTTTTCAGTTCACTTAAACTCCCATACAAACCACCATCTAACCACATACATCTTTCTGGGCCTCAGTTTCATTCTCTGTAAAATGAAAATAATAATATGTACACTACCTGTAGGTGATACAGTGCCAAGAGTACAGGATGTGAAGTCAGGAAGACTTGATATCAAATCCTGCCTCAGACACTTACTAGCCATGGGACCCTGGGCAAATGAAGAGTTAACAACCTAACTCTTTCTGCCTTACTTTCCCCATCTGTTAAATAGGGAAAATAACAGCACCTACTCCCCAGGGTTGTTGTAAGGATCAAATGAGATACCACATGTAAAGGGCTTTGTAAAATTCCATAAATGCTAGCTATTAAATTATTATCTGCTTCCCAGGATTATTGTAAAGAAAGCACTTTATAAATTGCAATTCATTTTTGAAATGCGAACCGTGGTTATCATTATCATGCCCATCACTGTGTAGCGATGCATCTGAGCTCCCAAAAGCTAGGCCAATAAAACGTGCAAGCTCTGGCAAGTCGTCCCTGGCTGAGCCCGCTTGCACTGCTGGGCTAGGGTTGGATGGACTGTATGTCTGCAGTTAAAAGGCTAATCTAGCTCAATATAAAGAGGCTCAGAGACAATGGGAATGACTCCTTCCAGCCTCATGGCTACTCAAGATGCCCTCCAGAAAGACCTAATCTCCGTGACATGTCAGACCAGTTCAAGGCCAATCACAAATTCCTGAAGGCCCGACAAATAACAAAAACGATGATAGTAGCATTTAAGGTTTGCACAGCACTTTACAAAATATTATCTCATTTGATCCTCACAACCTGGGAGGTAGGTGCTATTCCTATCCCCATTTTACAGACGAAGAAACTGAGACACAAAGAGTTGACTTGCTTAGAGTCTCACAGCAAGCAAATGTCAGGGGCAGGATTTGAACTCTCATCTTCCTGACTCCAAAACTGGAGGTTCATGGGGACCCAGAGAAGAGGGTGGAGGAGAGGGGAGGACCAGTCACTGATTGAAAGTCATTGCATCCCTTGATTCTCAGGGTCTGGGATCTGAGACTTTGTAGACCCACAAGTCCAGGGTTCCCCAGTCCTGACCTAGATCTCCCATCCATCCTTAACCTCAGCCCTTAGAACGATCCTTCCAACCCACCCCCACCCCACGGAGGTCCCAGATTCAAATCTAACCCTGTCACTTCCTGCGTGACTTTGGTTAAGTCCTTAACCTTTCTGGGCCTCAGTTTCTTCCTCTGTAAAATAAGGGGAGGTGACTCAAGGACCTCCGGGAGGTCCCTTGCAGTTCTGAATCAAAGACTCAAGGAACGCTGAGCTCTGCAGGCCTCTCCCCGCCCACCGCCGGGCCTAGCAATGGCCTCTAGACACAGGACATGACCCCACCCACACTCCAGCCCCTCCCCCCACGCTCCGACGACTCCACGCCCCGGGCTCCGTCTGAGGGGGACGGGGGCTGCCGGGAGCGAAATCCCAAGAGATGCTTAGAGATCACCCAGGGCGAGCCCTTCGTCCGGCGGAGGCACAGAGATGGGCAGCGGCTGGCCCGAGCAGCACAGCACAGACCGGGCGGGAGCCCAGAGACCTCGACCTTCCGAGACTCCGGCTCCCGGCCCGTGAAAACCCCGCCTGGCTTCGCATGGGGGACGAGGCCAGGGGACGCAGGAGGGCCGGGGACCGAGGACACTCACCGACCCCTTCAAAGCCGCAGCCGAAGACAGAGCCCCTTTACGGCGGCCGTAAAAGACCAGGGAGGGCGCAGGCGCAGACCGAGCTGTCAGCTCGTGCCGAGCCCCGCCCAGCCCCGAGCGAGGGGGCGGGTCTCGGCAGGAATTACCCAGACCGCAGAGCGCAGGCGCAGAAATGAGGGGCGGGTCCCAGAGGGCGCTGTCCTGATCGGAGAGCGCAGGCGTAGGGAGGCGGGGCGAGCAGCCGGGGACCTTTTTTTCATGTGATACTACTTCTACAGCTAGGAGCGACCTGTGAGGTCGTTTAGGAAACCGAGGCACATAAATATAAAAGAACCATAGATGTAAAACTATCTAGACACATGCTTCCTTTTGGGCCTCAGTTTCCTACTCTGCAAAATCTTGATAATAAAATTTACGTTACCTGCTTCCCGGGAAGAAAGCGCTTTATAAAAATACGTGTCATTTTTGCAATGTGAATTCTGATTATTATGATCATATTTAAAGATCTCAGAAGCCATCTGATCCAACCTACACACATACACACACGCAGAGACACATTTTACAGATGAGGAAACTAAGACCCAGGTAAGTTTCATGATATGGAAGGTAAAACAAACGGCAGAGACAGAATTTGAACCCAATTCTCGAATCATACCTTTCTCCCACACCACAGCACCTCCCTCAGTGCATCTTCAGTGCCGGGTAGTAGAACTTGCACACAGTCAGGACTTAATGTTTAGGACTTCGCAAATCTTAAAAACACACACACACATACATTTATGTGTGTATGTATGCATATGTATACATGTAAACTACTATTATTAATAATAACCTGTGTGTGTATCCCCTAGTTAGTAGTAGTATGTAAACTCCTTGAGGGTAGGAACTATCACACCTGGTACAGCGCAACACCTGATAAATAGTGGAAGGTTAATAAATATTTGTGCAACTGACAGGATGACTTTTTTGGAAGAGTTTATGATTTCATTGGTGTAGTGAATTTCCCTTAAGAAAATTCCCTCTACTGATGCAAATCAGCATCTGTTTTCCAGCTGGTTAGTATGTATTAAGTCTCTATTATGTGCCAGGAAGAATGTGTCAGAGGCAGAGCATTCACTGTCTTGAGCCTAGGTCTTTACATCCCATGCCAATTATTATTATCATATTACTCTTTTCATCTTTTTTTATTGGGTTCGGAGAAAAATAGTCTTCAGACAAGCTGCCAATGTACTATTATTGTTTTCTAATTAATATTCTATAAATTATTGCATAGAGGGATAAAATTATTACTTTTTGTAGCTTAACAAAAGTATTAAGATATAAGTTCACCATCATCATGAAATCCCAGAGACCATCTAATTCAGCCCTCCCCTTCGTTTTAAAAGTGAGGAAACTGAGCCCCACAGAAATTATCTTGTTCCCACAGGATTCTGATCTCCTTTGCAAGGTCTCTATATCTTGAAAGGTTTTCATCCCAAGTAGTTTGGAGATGATGAATATTTGGTGTGGTGACAGCTATTAAGAATGTTGCTTGTAAGTTTTTATGAATCACTCCATTTACTGTTTGGGAGGAGTTGCCTTTGGGAAATTGTAAAAACTCCTTTTAATGACCCAAGCTTCCCACGGAAACAAAGGCCCATCTTTTTAGTACCAATATCCTACCAATGTTACTGTATGGCAGTGAGACATGGAATTTAACAGTCTCGGAAGTATTAAAAATTGTGATATGGAAGACAATGGAGAAATGTACAGTGTGTATGAGCAGGCTGCAACATATAACCCATGAGGGACTTTCAAGAAGAATGAGAATAAAAAACGTCATCAGGGAAATTTATGATACAAAGAGAAGTTGGACTGGTCACATGCCAAGGGGAAAGATGAAAAGTGAACAACTTGACTGTTCGACATCACCCACGGCTATCAAGAGGAGCAAGTTTGATGGATCCCCAGTGGAAAACTCATGAGACAAGACAGGCAAGAAGTACACAGAATGGTCAGGCCTTGGATGGATTCCAGTCTACATCACCAACGGGAACTTTGATACTGGTGAGATCACAGGTCTATTTCAGTAAGTGAGTATTCTTATTCTTATCAAAACTATTATTATTGGGCAGCTAGGTGGAGCAGTAGATAGAGCACCGGCCCTGGATCCAGGAGGACCTCAGTTCAAATCCAGCCTCAAGACACATAACACATGCTAGCTGTGTGACCCTGGGCAAGTCACTTTACCCCATTACCTAACAACAACAAAAATTATTATTATTATTATTATTATACAAAGGTAGCTAGGTGATATACTAGATAGAGAACTGAACCTGGAATCAGGAAGACTTTACTAGGTGTGTTACCTTGGGTAAGTCACTTAATCATCATCTGCCTCAGTTTCCTCATCTGCAAAATGGAGATAACAATAGAACCTTCCTCACAAGGGTTGTTGTGAGACTCAAATGCAAATGAGACTGCAAATCTTTAAAATGCCACATAAATGCTATTAATAATAATAATAAACAGCACAGTCACAAGCTTTTTTGCAAGGTTTGAAGCAACCAGAATCAAAAGCAGAAAGAAGTCTTGGGGATTTATCTACATAACTGTTTAAGGAGGGGAAGCCAGTCCAGATCAGAAATGGATCAAATTAGAGATTCCACATCAAACAGTAGTGATTGTCTGCTGCACTTCTAACCCAGTCTCAAGAAAAAAGAATCATTTCCTCTAACTTTTTAAAAGCAAATTTGTTGTATTTATTCTTCCTATATAAAAAATCCCCAGAAATAAGTTTGCTAAATTTCCATTATTTCAAAAACATCTTAATTGAGTTTTATCTTGTCTTGAGACATTATAAAGAGTTTGGGCTTATCATTTATTATTACCATTATTATCTATATACTTAAAGGGATAACAAACAAATCATGTAATATATAACTTATTAATATTACCTGAAAATCAATATTTAAGTTTTAAAATTATAAAAACAATACAACCTAAATTTATTATCTTGACAAAAGTTCATAGGATTCTTAAGCTATCTGTGATCATAATGTGACTTTAAAAGTGCAAAATTTATGACAAATTTTATCTCCTCTTCTTTTTTCTAATTTTTTTTAAAAGAAATTTTTTTTTATATAACAGAACCCCATCACATTTATCAGAACCAGGTATTGATAATGAATTTAGGTGATTTCCAGGTTCCTGGCTATGTTTCAATGTTTCTAGGATCTCTGATTTCACTGAGTGAATACTCCCTACATTGACAAAAATCCTCCCTTTACAAGAATACTTTATTGATCCCCTTAATGTTAGTGCCTTCCCTCCATTGATTATCTGCAAACTATCCTATCTACGTCTTGTTTATAAATAGTTGCTTTCATGTTGTCTTCTCCAATAGACTCTACACTCCTTGAAAGCAAAGACTATCTTTTTACCTTTTTTTTTTTGAGGCAGGTGGTGTATATACTTAATGCATAGTAACTGAGTTCAATGTGGCTTCAAACACTAGTTGTGTGACCCTAGACAAGTCATTTAACCCTGTTTGCCTCAGTTGCCTCATCTATAAAATGATCTGGAGAAGGAAATGGCAAACCATTCTTGTATCTTTGCCAAGAAAACCCCAAATGGGGTAACAAAGAGTCAGACATGACTGAAATGATCTAACAAGAAAAGTGCCTAGTACAGTGCCTAGCACATAATAGGTGCTTAATAAATGCTTATTGACTTGTTGACTTGATACAGATTACAACCCATCTATGACATAATAGACAATCTTCATGAGTTTCTGTGCCCCCCAAATTTATCACTTGGTGGCTAGTGATAAAACACTCTAAACCTACCTACACTGGTTTTGGGATGATAGGCATACAGTTATCCATACTTCTAAGCCTTTATAACTTGATAAAAAGCCAGCCTTCCAAAATAAAGGTCACCTCTATGCCAACACTGCAAACTAAGACTTAAGTGAATGATTAAAATATATACAAATATCTGTGTGCTTATCTGTAATGCATGTATGTAACATAAAGCTTTAAACATAGAAAAAGAAATACTCACATGCCTGTCTATGATTTTATTGAACAACTATGATACTGAATGAGCTCTTTTGGATGAGTTCAGTGGGATCTGAGGACTTGCAAACTGTCTCATCGCTATGGCCCCTGAAGTAAGCAATCTCAAAGCAGGCAATGAGCAAAAGCAACATTTTTGGCATCTCTGTAGTACGGGAATGCTAATATTGCCTCCAGCAATTATGTCAAAAAGGCATAGCTTAAAGATTAAAATAAGAGTCACATGTCCTCTGGAGAGATTTCAATATAAACAATCTTGGATCCTTTAGTTTGGTACAGTATTAATATTTGTTAAGTATTTGCCTTAAGATTAAACCGTATGTAACGTTATTGAACATCACACACAATCTATATTTAAATAACGGTCATTTTCTCCTTTGATAAGACAGTCCTACAACTTCTGGGTTATGTGACCAATAAGATGGAAAACTAGGCATTTTTTTTTAATAGGCATGATCTCTCAAACTTCTTCAAAACAGAAATTACATGCCAAAGATAAAGCAACTTTAGCTGTCTCCAATGGTCTAGGATACCAGAAACCCCCCAAAAATTAAAAACCCCATGAGTTAACACAAAACTTGAGGTCAATCAGTTCCCCAGCTGCTTGCCATTCTATTGTCAGCAAAGCTGCACTAGCCAGCCTAACCCATAGGCTTGCAACAACACCCTACCTCATACTTCAGTCTCTCTTCCCTATTTCCAGTGCCATGGAGATCCGAGTGCCAAACTGCAGAAATCTGCTGAGGCCTTGGCAGCATTCTGTGCTGGAAAAGATCTCTGCAGAGGAGGAGAGGGACAGGAGTAGGACACATATCTGGGCTTGAAATAGATGTCAACCCCATAGCCCAAGCACTCCACCGGCACTGCCACCACAGCCTTGAAACTCCAAAGGACAGAAATCACCGTAACCCTCAGTAGCACCAGCATGATAGTGTTCTGAACTGGCAAGCTGGAGAACAGAGAAACAGTGGGAGAGGAAGGGCCTGTGGGTGTCTGTATAGCATTCCACTAAGTATGAAGGAAAAAGTCCAGCATCCATCTGAGAGGCC